TAGTCTATGATTTCATAATCTTAACTGTTGAATGTTCGTCCCGTTCCAACGAACATTTTCTGGAGGTTCAACGCGGAAGTTTAATTTCTTTGCAACTCATCAACTTTTGGGTCATCGAAAATCCAAGGCTGCTTGAACTGACTCATTCTGCAAGCTTAGGAAGGAGCACAGAGACGTGAAGGATTTAGCTCTAATCACATGGCATGAACACCGCGTTGATTTGTTGAGAGCGCGTTTCCAATGAATCGTTGATGGACGTATTTAAAAATTTATCAGATTGTTTGTGTTTTCTACTGATTGAGGCGACTAAATTTTCAGAAAATCAACTGTGGTCGTCGATGCTCAATTGTTGATGATGAGTGAAGGTGCCAGCAGCAACAAAAAATCAGCTTGTTCAGTTGACGCTATGAACCTGACGTCAGTGCAGCGTATTGACCCATGTGCTGTAGCCATTATCGATAAGGTGATCTCGTCTTTTAACCTCCAATGGATGTTTGAGTAAAAAATATCAATTCATTTCCCTCAATGGCTTTCATGTATTCATGTTTGTCAGCAGAAGCATTTTTAATCTTACAATTAGAGTGAAAGCTTCATTTCTTGAGGGTTTACTTCTCGTCAATTATTTCTCAGTGAAGTATCAAGTCAGCATTCTTCGTGTGGTGCAAATTTGACCACCAGTTTAATGTCATCAATTCAGAATTTTACGGCAATTCTTTCTGTTTTCAGTCAACACATGCTGCACTGTACAGTTACGATGCTGCCAAAGAAGGATGGACCAAAACCGCGATTGAAGGCCCATTGCTCATCTACAGACGTGCCGATCGACCAACGCATTCGATGATCATCGCCAATCGTCAGTCGCTTTGTGATCACATCGAGCCAATCATTCCATCGTTACGCATTTGGGAGAAATCGCCGTACATTTTCTTCAAAAAAATGGAAGGTTTGTCGAAATTGCTGAAGTTATTCACGATTCCTGTTTAGAATTCAATTCGTCAATTAGAATTCGTTCATTCAATCTGAAAAGTTGGGTTTTTTTCTGTCACAACTCTGGTAAACTAGACTTGCCATATGCTGTTATCGTTATCTCATTGCTGTCATCATCGTTATTGCTTTCAACACTGTTACTGTTGTTAAAATCATTTGTTGTTGGAGAAAATTCATCAAGTAATTCATTTTAGAAGAAAGGTAATTACTCGGAAATGCTAAACAGAGACATAGAAATGGTATTGCATTCATTGTCAGATTCAATTTTAAGTGTGTTTGTATCGTTGGATGATTTTGAATGTGTTTGCAGAGAACGAAATAACTGGTTTATGGTTCTACGAGCGTGAGGACTGTGTTCGAATTTATAAATTACTGCGAAGACTTCTCAGTGAGACGAGCACTCCTCAGCCACCAGCACCAGCCACAGCCTCAAGCAACACCACCTCTGTTCAGTCAATCCAAGATGCAAGCTTTGATGTTCTCTCACTTCTGTCTTGCCCTCAGCAAACCCAAAATGTATCACAACAAATTACCACTGAGCAAAATGCAAATAAACCTCAAACACTCGGTAGGTTATGCGTTAAGATGGTTCGATGAGTTTTACATTTGTGGAACATGTTTTCTATAAGCTGTAATCTATTCATCTCTTGAGATCAGAAAAAGGTGTTTGATTGTGAGAGAATCTCATGAATACACGTTTCAAACATGGAAAACACGTGCGTGTGACTCTGATGTATTGGATAAGTGAGTACTGGATAAAGAAATCGGATATTTGTGAGTACTTTGTTCACATGGCAGTCGGCGATTTCAACAAGACAAGTTGTCGTAGCCATAGTAACAAAGTGAATAAGTATGGGAATCATATTGATGATAATAATCATGAATCGAGTTGACTAGGCTTAATGACAGCAGTTAGACAGCAGTGAATGCCCCAGTCAATTGAAAGTCATTCGAGACGATCAATGGTGTTGAGGCAGTTTTATCAAGAATTACGTTCAAAATTTTTAGATGAAAGGGTCAGTGAGTTGCCATCAAAAGATGGTAGTTGTGGCACATTCGAAATGCCTGCGATGTTGCAAAAATTATTGTGTGAAGAGAGTGGTATTGCTAAACGAACAATGCCATTGAAAGGCGCTTTGAACGCGGATCAGATTGAGAAACACCTCGTTCAAGGAGATTCCAATCTGCTGATGGATAAATTCCTGACGGATCCAAAACTGTCCACTCATTTTTCATCAGCCAGGTGATTGAGAGTTTGATTGGTCAACTGATAATTTTTTGTCTTTATTGTACGGTGTTTTAATCCTATAATTTATATTGAGGAGAATTTCAAGCATGATTCAAGGTTGATTTGAGGAGGATTCAATTTATTCAGTTATTGTCGTGGACTATTTACGTCCATAGCGTTTATGGAATGCCATTATTTTTTATCATTTTAGTGTTTGATTCAAATTTAAATTGCAGTTTGGCCGCACTTTCAACGACAGCAGTGGGCGGAAGTGATACAGGTACTCTTCCTGACGAGGCGACTGGTGCAGGAGATCAGTCGTTTTCAACGAAAAATGTGATGATTAACTTTGATTCATTTCAGAGTATTTCTTTAAAAGTTTTTTTTTTTAAACAGAGCAGTGTTTAACCACGGAAATTTCCNATTAATTCAACATTTTCCTTGCTGACTTGACAAAGCGATTTTCTTGATCGGTCTTTATTGATGGAATTTGGTAGTGAATAACATGGGTGGAGTTGATTATACTTGAGGACATCTGCATTTATGCATCCATACTCTCTTGCTTGTGGTGATTTGACCAGAATCAATGGCATGTTTCCGAATTAAACAAAGAGAAAGTGAGTGATGAATGAAAGTTTGTGATGATTTTATAGAGGAATGTGACCGAATTGAAGAGATCCTGTTCAGTGGATGATACCACTAACCAGATACCGATCGCACCGTTGAATAAAGAGCAAATGTTACAAGCTATGATGCATTTACTCAGGGTAATGTTCACATTCAGTTTGATTCAGTTCAAGTTTCATTTGTTTATAATCAGTTTGATATCTGGATTTGTAAGGAAGAGTGAAGAGTGATCTAGAGAATTGAAGGATGGACATACTTAAGAAGTATTTTGTTTGTAAAGGTTGCAGTTTTGGTGTATTTCTAGTAGTATGCATTGTTATTGGTACCAGTTAAATTCCTTACTAGTTAGAAATGATAAGTTTCTGAAGTTACCTTAATCCTCAAACTAAAATTGATGATGTTCATGTGAGTTCACGTTTACTGGCAGAGTGAATTAACCCAGTCAATATTAACTCATTTATAGACCGATGACGATTTCGTAGCACAATTGCACCGTGCCTATGTGGATAGTCTCAACTACCGTCTTGGACTGTAAACTTTCGGCAGTCCTTCAACAGTCATTCATCATTTTGCATTCACTCAATGAAGAGGCACCACAAATGATTATTACTTATGTTGTATTAAAATATTCATTGTTATCGGATCTGTTCAAACCTTCACTAAATTTGTTATTATTGTCGTAACGATGTTGATTTTGTTATTGTTTTTGTGAATGATGATATGGAACGTGTAATCACAATACGAAGTAGATAGAGAATATTGTTTTTGCTTGCTTTCTTCGTGGGTTTGTTTTTGGTTATTAGTTTGTTCAGATAATTTTATTTTATTCTGTTGCGCGGAATTCAAATGTCATCTCGTATTAATAGAATATTTCGAAATGTAAAGGAAGAAATAACTTATGTTCTTTGAATGTTGTGCTCGTTTCGAGCAGGTTTATAGTATCTAATAACGTTTCGTATGAATACGAACTTTTTGAAAAGGATTGTTAATTGCATTGGATTGTTTTGCATTGAAATTCTTTATTCACCTGAATATCGCTTGCAATAATGCGTGTTTTTTTTGGACATCAAACGTGTATGTTTCTTGAATTTTTTGCTAATGTCAAATATTTATCGTTCATTTAGTTTTGTCTCTGTGAAATTGGTATGTGCGTATTTAAGCTTTTAGTGTTGTTGGCTTTTAAAAATGTCACATATGCAAGCAAATATTGTATGATAGTGAGAGTTAGGTGATTGTTTACGAGTAGAACATCGTGGATATGGATTGGTTGTGATCAACTTGCATCTGTGTGGAACTCGTTCAGAGCAGTTAAGCTGTAGAATGCCATTTGAAGCTATGAAGTTTCCGTATGATCCAGCTAGTTTGTGGTGTTCACTTGAGAGTGGAAGGAATGTCAACAGAGCAAAGTTTGTCGATCCATGTGCGACTTTTTGAACAAGTTTTGAACGGGTTCATATGAGTTTCAGATCGATTCACATTCATGTCAATCTCAAAGGATCAGCATTGATGTGTCATCACGATTCGCTTCTGTCATTTCATGGAATTCATTAAGCTCTTTCCTAAATTTCTTAATGTGTTTTCCTTTTGTTCAATCTATTGTTCCATGTTGAAGATTACTGTTGTTGTTGTTATTGTGCAATGAAATAAACAATTCAAGAGAGTGAGTATGAATTAATAAACCGAGTTCAAGAGTATCGATGCAGACATATGATATGGATGGATAGTGAATTAATTGAGTTAGCAGTCAGTGTTTTCGTTATGGTCTTGTTATGACTCGACAAAGAATGACGTTTATTTAAGTGAGGTGCTGCTGCGGCGGCGATGAATTGCGACGAAAGCGTTGAAATGATGACGCACTGACTGACTGATATTGTTGCATAATTTTTGTTGGAGTAACGTGAATTTATTCTGCGACATGGAATGAATTGGCGACATGGAACGGAATATATTATATGCGAAAAAAGTATTGTTCTTTGACTGATATATTCACTTGCGATAGACACTTCATTCATTTGCTTTTTGCACGTGACATTTTTGAAGTAACAATTGCACATCAAGAATTGATTACATTTGAAAAGCATTCCTGCAGAATACGATTATACATGCATGCATCAGTAATGTACATTTGCTTTCGTCAGTAATGAATTTTATCCTCACAAACCGGTCGGTCGGGTCGGTCGTTCAAATATCTCACGATCAATAACTCCAGCAGTTGGCGAAAAATGTCGATAAACAGGTGTTTTTTNACGATTATACATGCATGCATCAGTAATGTACATTTGCTTTCGTCAGTAATGAATTTTATCCCCACAAACCGGTCGGTCGGTCGGTCGGTCGCTCAAATATCTCACGATCAATAACTCCAGCAGTTGGCGAAAAATGTCGATAAACAGGTGTTTTTTGTTGAATCTAAGTTTATTGATTCAATCTGGACTGATCCTCACCGAACCGGTAATATAACTCTGGTGTGCGCAATGTGGTTACTTCTTCGATTACTCTCAGTTCCTGTTCTGACTGAGTGAGAACAACTAAAAAACAACTGAAATGAGCACTTGAACGTCGCAATGGTGAACGCCAAGAGGATGGTCACCAAAAGAACAGTGCTGATTCGTTTCTGTACATTTCAATGCGCATCCTAAAACAAACATTTTGTTGCCTCGTTTGTTTTTGCTTGCAAAGTCAGCCAATGATAACACGCAAATGATATGTCGTAAAATATTTAGTATAGACTCGAATGCTTATCGTAGACAGTATGGGATCACTGACCATCACTCATTTATGAGTCATGATGAGATGGATGGAGATGAATTCGAAAAAAAAAACAACGCATTTGTTATCAGTAATTGATTCGCCTTTTGAAAGCAAATGCAAATTCTTGATTGATTTCGTTGATAAGCCTGGCAGAACGAGAAGATCGAAGATGACACTTTTGTCTAATGAACAAACAAGCAAAACAATCAACCAATATCAGTTCATGACCTTTGAAGTGAAGAAGATACGTTTGAAGTTCTAAAGAGTAGATTATCTCTTTCAGCCATGTTCGTTCGACTGCATGCTGGTACAGTGAGTGAAAGTGCTCTCTGGCCTTAGGAAGCCTTAACTGGAAGATCTATGAAATCTGATAGTGATAAAACATTCAGATTCTGTTGATGTTATTGACAAGAAAAGACTTGAACAGATAGCTTTATTGAGTGATTGTTGTGTAATATTCTTGCGATGAGCGTTCGTTCTATTGACGATCAGTGAAGATGCTGCGATCATGAATTTAAACAAAACGATTACATGCAATTGAAACGAATGAGAAATCTTCGGTAAATCGTTCAAGGTTGTTTCAAATTGTTAACCTTGCACGATGGATGATGATACTTCACGCTTGAAGTGACTGATGAGAAGACGATTGGAAACAAGTCAAACTCGTCATAGTAATATAATAAACGCATTTGACAATTTGCAGAGTCTAAGGTCAAAAAAAGTATATTGTGATTGTTGAAGTGAATTTCAAAAGGGGCAACTGAACGTAAACCTTATAAGAAATAGATACGGATGCAATAAAAGTCACTAATGTGGAATTAATATGATACTTGTCTTTCAGGGATTTTCTCAATAATAATAATACTTTATTCAATAGAAGCAATCGAATCGTTTTTACGAAGATACCATTAATATTTCACGAAATACCAAAACATTTCATTGAAAGCAAAAAAGTTTCAATATTCTTGTATACATAGGAATTGTTTCCATTCGTGTGATGAGTCCCTCGAAAGATCGTTGTTTACAAAACGTCCAGGAATCAAACTGTTTATCATCACCACCTATCACGTTCTGATTCTGCAACAAAAAANCTACTGCAAACTTGTTTGAATTCATCAGGATGTTATGCTTTCCGGAAATAGGCCTATACAGGGTGTTCTCATTGAAATGATAGTATTCATCACCTATCAGAGTCCAACTTGACGAGGCTTAGAGTTCGCAAATATTAAATTCTCGACAATTGATCGTACAATTGAGTGAGAAGAAAAAATCATTCGATCTCATAGAATGATCAAATTCAAGATTGTAATAAACGAATAGTGCATAGGAGTATGGTGATCGTAAACGATGTAATTTTGGAGTAGTTGACTTCAAGAAAATTTTAGATTTTCACATCCCCTCAAAACTCTTCGATGACACCATTCTAACTTCACATGTGAACATACTCAATTAACGATCTGCGATTAATTTCCAATGGTCCTCTGCTCCTTACACATCAGTTTTCGTATTCATGCTATCTACCGGTTTGTTTCGCATTATCAAATGACGACGTGCTGAAAGTTCGAATCGAAATGTAATAACAGCACAGCACACCATAAAACATCAATCAAATCAAAATCTGGCATTACCAGCATAAGAACGAATGCTAATCATAATTTAATTCCTTTCCATATCACACCGAATATCGCATAAAATCTTTCCGAAAATTCTCTTTTCCACTAAAACGATTTTCATATTCATAACCACATCTTTTCATCAGCATTCATCAGTTTCTTTTTTCATTGTTTCCAGCAAGTGCAGATGTGCTGGGGTTAATCATGCAAATAATTGTGCTTCATTCGAAAAACGCTTTCTTTTTTCTTCATCTTGATTTCAACGCAGTGACGTCGGTGTGCTGAGTAATATGTCATTCGTCACTTTATTATTAATGTTATTATGATCATTATTATTACCATTATTATTATCGTTATCATTATCACTATTGTTATCACCAATACCATTGGTATTATTACTGTTATTATTGTTATCGTCATTATTATTATTATTATTATTATTATTATTATTACTACTATTATTATTGTTATTATCAATATTAATATTATCATTATTATTATCATATTGCTATTGTCATTATTATCGTCATTATCATTACTATTATTATTATTACTGTTACTATTATTCTGATAATTATTACCAATGTTACTACTATTATCACTGACATTTTCACATCATTAACATCTAGGTTGCATCACTATTATTGGCAATTTTTGTTTGTAATCTCGAAATGAGTTCAGAGCAAATTCCCTCAGTGAATTTGAAGCGATTATAAGATGATATGCATTTCATAAAGCTGCCATCATTCCGGGAATGACCCAACACATACATTCGGCGAATATGCTGATTGCGTAATCTTTTCGCTTAACAGTCAACGGTCTAACTATAAGCAAAATTTTGATCGCAATTCGCCATTTGTGATGACAATAATGGTGATGTGATAACGATGAGGATGATGATGATGATGTCAACAATCGAACAATTTCTCACCGCAGACAATTCCTTGGTCGTCAATTAATTGTCATTTCGCATATCTGTCGTCGTAATTTGATTGATTCGTTCGTCTAATAAACCAACCAGCAACGAAAGATAACCAACCAAACGAATTTTCAAAAATTTCCTTCTTCTTAGTCAATGAATTCGGAAAGAATCAATCATACATATCTATCTATCTGCATACTATAGCGAAAGAGCGTTTCTTTTCCCAATGAAATCAAATCAACATTTTTCGATGACGTTCGATTGTTGGTCACACTGTGGTCATTCATATTCTCGATGATGAACACCGCCACATCCACCATGAACACTCTCATAATCTTACAGTGTCATGATCTTAACCCTTAATACTTTGCACAAACATTGCACACTATCATTCATTTTCATCGCACTCAAAGAGTACAAATAAAACTGATAATAACACATTTTATTCACGTGAGCACACATCACTTCCACCTTACAGTAATGGTCACCAATCGTTTACCGTGTAACGTTGTTGTGTTCAACCCGATCACACCTCCTACCACTTTCTAAAACCTAAACGTTGTGCTTCTTTTAACCTCATATCTTTCACTCACGCACTTTCACCTCATCACCTATTCTGCACTCCCAATCAGTTACAAGTACGCCGATTCTGTTCGGAATTCAGCACGAAGAGGTCCTATCAAATCGACATTCAATGAAACATGCTGCCTTCATGAAGCTATTTACCTCCAATGATCACTTCATTGAGTTATTCATTGATCGTGTCCGCATTGTTTTAGTGGTTTCGGTGGTGATTACATTGGTTTGATGAGAATGGAAACGAGTGATTATTATTATTATTATTATTATTATTATTATTATTATTATCATTATTCTTATTATCACGGTTATTCACACTGCACCTCATCTCAATGAATTTTTTAAAAGTTGAACTGAATAACGACCAAAAAAAACAACTCATAAAGTTGCAGAAAAAATCTACTCAACAATCACCATTCTCATGAACAACAAGACAACCGCATTTATACAAACGTATCATAAATAGGATCGTCCGTCAGTTTTCATTTTGCGCCTAATTAACACTTTTCACAGCTCCGCCCCAGCGACAAACGGCTCGCACACGTGCCGTGCCCCCACAAAACCTCCCTCTCTCATACGAATCGTATAAAAATCGCCAACGGAAGCGTTTCAATCGCATAACCACTTCTCGTCAATGCATGAGAAGATGCATCTCGTTGAAAATCGCTCCTTTATTTCTCGCTCACATATCTCAAGGTGTACACATACCGAATCAGTTGACTTTTTGGATGTTTCACCGTGGCCGCCACCAAACCACTAATGTAAACTTCAAGTCACTGAGAAAATTCATTTGAGCCACCATCTAAACCACCACCAAGCAGAATATGATGTCCATCTCTCTTATTGCTCAGGTTCTATGGAAAGTTATGGAGAAATTGACCGAATCTTAGCAGCCGACATGCTTGTGTGTCCACTATCAGCTACTTCGAAAGCTGTTTTTTTCCGCATCGAAGATTGCCCATCGTAAATAGTCTTAGATGTTGTTGCCATGCAACATTCATTCGTGTTTATCAGTTGCATCTCTCAATTTACGATCCATCACGGTGTCTATCCAAAACAGATTCATTCACCATACCTGCTGCCTTCTTCTAATAACAGAAACCGTTTCTGCATTCCTCATCATCAACTCACTCAAGCTCCCCCTAAATTCTTGATAAACACTCTAATACAGGAGTGAGACATAGAAGTTACTGCAATCACATTTTCGAGTAATTTTGTTCAGAACATCACTGCTACTGAATTGCTAACTGAAAGAGTAACGATGTGGTTATCAAAAGAAATTAATCAGATTTAGATATCATTAAGTTTGTAACAATATTTTCCCCTAGTGAAAGTTTTATGCGCTTTGAGTGTTAAATACAAAGTGATAAATGCGTCGAATCATTCTTTTTGGAGGGTAAACTTGATGATACTCTAAAGATTGGCCCCATTCTCGTTGACACGAGACAAGAAGTGTTCGATAGACGAACAAGGAGATGAGGTGCTTGAAATTGCTATCTAACTGTGTTCGATTCGTTGTGCATTGGTCATCGGCTGGGCTGAGTGACCGCTTGTCGCCGGGTCAATTGTCTACTCATCTAGACACTCCCGTCTTCGATAATAAGAGACTGTTATATCTTCAAAACCCACCTTTGTAATGTGCAACAACCAAATGCGTTCAGTGTCTGAGTATGAGCAGCACATTTATGCTAGTAGTTGCTCAAGGAAACGGAACAAAACTGAGTTTAGATACAACACAATTCGATTATAACACAACGTTCGCCTCCATACGACCCACCCCACACCTTCTTCTTCATTTAATCACTTCCTTCAGTATAAAAACATCATTCGGTATTCAATCGGTGCTTTTATTCAGTTGGTCGTCCAACTTGTTTTTTGTTATCATTATTATTATTATTATTGTTATGCTAAGTGATCATGTTATGACTTTTGAGTGATAGCAATACGAACGAACAGGAACAGAAATAATAATAATAATATCTTGAATGACCAAAACAATGCGCAGAAAAACGATATTGTGCAACTTTCAGCGGCACCAATGTACCGATACTGACTATTCATTTTTTAAGCGCAGCGAGCGATTTATTTGTTTCATGTTTTGATTTCCAAAAATCGCTTGTTGAAGGTACCACTTACAGATACTCATCATGAATGTACAACTGACTTTTTGAGAGAAAACATTCACAATTGTTCAGCGATTGTTCTGCAGTTTTTTTCCGAGAAGAATTTAGCACAACACATGCATGAATTAACAATTGATGTTTATTGGGTTGATGTATCGGGTACTGATTGAAACGATAGCTTGCCTGGCTTGAACTTACTTGTTTATGTGGATTGCAGATTGCAGGAAATGTTTGAGATCTTCACCGAAGGTATCACATTGCTCAATGCAATCTCCTTACTTGCGTTCCTCACCACGGTAGCACTATTCTTTTGTGGATTGTGAGTTTTATTTTTGTTGTTGCTATTGTTATTGTTGATATTATTATGGTTAGCTTCAATGTTTTGATAATTTTCACTATAATTGTTATGATTATCACTCCTTTCATCATTTTTGATCTTGTAATGACCAAATCCTTACTAACCTTCTTCGTGTCCACTGATAATCCAGAGTTACTGGTGAAAGGAGAATCAAATCGCTTAGTTATACAATTTTCACTTGTCAACCGAGCCTTCAGTTACACTTGGTTTGGTCAAAATTGTGGGCTGCTATGAGTTTGCTGGAATGAACGCTGCGTTATCATTGAGTAATTCATTCTTATGTTCAGTACCAAAACCTTTTCGCGATAGTGATTCAGAAAAGAAATTTCTCCGGTAAAATCGACCACTTGTAGATAGGAAGTAATATCGTCCTAAACAATGCATTTATCTATCACCAATGTTTTTATTCCATTTCAGAGGCATATGTCGTCAAATCATCAAAAGACGTGATACAAAAGAGATCAGTGGAGCACCATTCATAATGGGAGTTATTGGGTGAGTGGTGTTTCTTGACATATCATTTCAATATTGTCACTTGAATAATTTACAGTCGATCGACATTCACATATTTTATTGAACAAGAGTCATTAACCTCGATAATTTGACGATTCTGTCTTAGTTCTTCTGAAAAGTTGCAAAAAAATGAACGATTATGCTAAAGAAGCGACCGACTTGACTGAATTTCTATCAGTGATATATTAAACTAATAAGTGATTATTGAGATGAATGACAAAAAAAGTGAACGTTTTAATTGATGGCGGTTAATCTGAGCATGTGGGCAATTTAACATGTGCACAAGGTATATCTGCAGTCTTTTTGGTTTGCGCAGGGCACATTCATTGTTTTGAGAGACGGATGGATAAATGGCGCTCATGAATGAATAGATTCATAATCATCGTCACTTGACAAATTGTGCTGTTTTATCACAATGCGTGTAGATATTATGAACACATCTACGAGCGACTCACTTCTTAGATTGCATTAGAACACAGTTGTGGAACATTACAACACACAAATTGTCTCATCTACCAAAAAGGTCGTTCGTTCACTAGCGAGCAGTGTTGTTCGCCGAATTCAAACGGATATGATGTAAAGTCAGTGTGGTAGTCCATGAATGTGCATGATATGATGCCTTGATACACGCTATGTTCCATAGACTATTTTTGAAGTTTTCGTAAGATTTATTCCCATAACAAATGCAAATGCTGTTGTTGATAAAATGCAAATGCAAAAAGACGTTTGTTTTACAGTGGCTCATGTTGGTGGGCATATGGACGTTTGAAAAACGATCAAACCGTACTCTATGTGACAAGTATACAAGTGGTTTTGTATTTATCATATCTCATCTTCTATTGGTTCATGACAAGAAAGAAGGTTGGTTAACCATATAAGAACAAATCTGTCGACATGAAATTAAATAATCACATAGAAGCCAAGTCATAGCCTGGTTCAGACTCGCAATATCAGTGATATCATTGGTACACCACACGGTTTCCGGCAAACCTTTTCTTCAGAGGAAAGTTTTAAAATTGCCCAAATTAACTTCTTTCTTCAGAGGAAAGTCTTGCACGAAACCGAGTGGTGTACCAATGACATTACAAAAACTTGTGTAAAGCATCCGAATCAAGTTCATATTAAGTCAAAGATGGTAATTTGGGCAATTTTTGATGAGTTTTTAAAGCCTAACATTGATGGAAGAAGTCTAAATGTTTACTCACCGAAACGCCAGTTTCTGAAGCATCCATCTGATTCACTAATACAAATATCGCCTGTTCAGTTGATGATAACGATCAAGTTCATTGCAACACTAGGAATATGTGCAATGCTTTATTTTATGGTTCGTTGCTTCGGAATGAAAGTTTATCACCCGCTCGGAATCATTTGCCTCTGCTTGAATGTCGCCGATTTTGCGGCACCACTCGCTAACATCGTAAGTGTTTTTTGTTTCTCTCACAATCAATGAACTCCACAGTATGACCAGATATGGTAATATTTGAAAGCGATTCACTTCCAACAGATGTTTCGTTTAAGACTCGAAAAAGATAGGTTCATTCTTACCTATTGCGTTTGATGTTCACGACAAGTAGTCTCTAAAGTGATCGGATTCCGACAATTAGTCAAAAAAAACCTTGAGTTGTTCTTTTCTAATACTTTAGAAATCAGCCTAACACACTTGGCCATCTGATGATGCAGAACATAGGAGAACCATATGTTGTGTTTTTATGCACCACAATTTGTATCAAAATTCAAAAATTCAATTATTGCATATGATTCACTATCAAATACACCTCTTTCCTTATGAGCCAATGAACCATTTTGAATTGGAATATTTGCAGATCACTAAACATTCCAGAATTTCAACCAATAGACTTTTGCAAAACTCAGTGAGAAAATCATCATAGAAACTGTGCAATCATCGGGATAGACTCGTGCAAAAATTATCAAAATCTACACTCAATAGAGATATCTTGGCAATTTAGCGTTACTGATTTAAAGACTTCAATGATTTCGTGTAATATTTCAGAAATATGTAATACGTAAGCGTTCGTCGCAAACACTGCCTCTACCTCTGTGCATCGCGAATTTCCTCGTGTCGAACGAATGGTTTATTTATGGACTTCTCAAAGACGATTTCTATCTTATTGTGAGTTTTTACCATCGGAAATGTTGTTCTCGTTCGTTTCTGTTCGAAAACACTCAAGATGATCTCTCAAAGCTCAGAGTCCTAAAAATTTACCTAATTGATCAAAAACAACATGTTTATGCGCAATAATGTATGACAAATTACTGATGCTGATATACAATTTGAGCAGATTTAAACCGAAGAATGTTTGTCTTGAATCTGGAAGCATATTTTTGGATACGATTGGTTAATTTTCAAGCAGCTTAAGGGCGAAAGTAGCCAAAATTCTACAAATACTCATCGAGAGAAACCCGATAATCCAGATTTTTTCGCAAAATTTCGCTTCTCAATAGCTCGTAGTGTACCAAGAAATTCCATGTTCATCTGATCCATGCAGCAGAGTGCAACCTTGTTGAAATCACAAAGTTCGTTCACACAAGTTGAAAGATAATTATGAGATGAGTTTTGCGCTCATTCGCCAAGCAGCACATATTTTGCCATGTAATAAATAGCACCATTAAAAATATCACCGTAATGACAACAATACTTGTATAATTTCTGTTCTAATTGATATCTCAAATTTTCAGTTACCAAACGGAGTGGGTTCAATATTTGCAACCATCAATCTAGTTTTGTTCATTGTATTACCTCGTAAAACCGGACTTCGTAGTCCAATTCTGATGCTGTTCGATATCATCTTATGTCGTCGTCATTCTTCTGAAGACGGCAGTGTTGCTGACGTTGAGGCGGCTGCTGGTTAGTACATTTGTGATAGATTCATCGGGTTTTCGAACGCCACTCCTCACTCAATTTGAATTCTTCATTAGAATATCCATCCACCAGTGGTATCATTCATTACACAAACACATCTGCACTATAACCTATCAACAAATTTGCGACAAGCGACTGATGCGGAACTGATTTATTCATTGACACAACTTGATATTTAGTCATAACTTGATATTTGGTCTTGTGCAGAGCATGCGTTGAATCGCTAGGTAAACTAGGCAAATGGGGATAAGGTGACCGAATCAGTTTACCGTTCGGAATCAATTTATAACAGTTCAGTTCATAACACTGTACCCATTCAAATCTTGCTTCTTTTATAAATCTTTCAAACGTTGAAAAAGAAAAAACATCAAAGTTGCATGTATGTATCTGTTGCAGTTGAAGTTACTTATAAAGAGCTTCAAGATAGTAACGATCGAAAAACTTGGTCTGACAGAATGATAGCTAACGTGACTGGAGAGTTCGAAAATGTGATCGCAAAGTGTACACTCAAAGAACAGTAAGTTTTAATCTATCTCTTCATTTACAACACCTTTAGCAGTGTTCCATTTCCACGTTATTTCATTGAAAACTTATTCGCAATCTTTCTGTTATTCGCAATCACTTCATCAATAAGCTATTATCGTAAAGTTTCATCAATGAATAAAATTTCCAGATTTGGCTATTCGGATACGCTGAACAAGAAGTTGAGTACAGATAGCAGTGTTAGTCACATTGATACGATGAGTGCCGGTAGCTCGTCGATTGACGCTGAACCAGCAAAAGTTTGTGACAAGAACGACGCATCATTATTCCCGGAGAATGTCGCGATTGCATTCGATACCAAACAGTTGCAACAGTTATGCGGTCAGCTTTCGTCGATTCTGCACCCGAATCAACAACGACGAACAACCGAAAAACGTCAACGTCGCCAATCTGAGTATCCAACCGAACCGATTGCATCGCTTCATCGCACGACAAGTGCACCAAATCTAAGTCATTGTGGTCAAGATGACAACTGAGCAAAACAAACAGGCATATCTCTGCCGCGGTAATCGCATTCCCTTACGAGCCACATTTCCGCATACTCATTCAAAACTACGACCGCAAGCAACAACAACCTAAACAATCGAACAACCCTTCAAATTGTCGTCGTCACGCAAGCATTCTTTGTTCGCATGAATACTGTCGTAACGTCTTTCAATGACCTGACCTGATACCATCTTGGTATCGTGACGTATCACATGCGCTTTTTAACGGATAACAAACGTTACCGGATTCGTTAATTGCCTCTTTAGCAGTAGTACATGTTTTAGAGAACTGATGCAGCAAATCCTCTTGCTCCTCATCAATAAGCATATAAGTTACAGACCGAAGCAGCGATACTGAAACATCGATCGCACTTGCACACTTTAAGATTCTGATAAATTCACACAGCGCAATTTGAATGTTCATAGTTGAGCAGTTCGAAAATCGCCGTTACGAATCGACACACAACTAATCGGCTGTTCATATACTACTAATTAGTGCAACATTTGGCTGCATTCAACGCCGAATTTCGCATTGTTCACATACTTGCTTCATTAATTCATCTCTTCCTCAGTCTTTGATTATGGACAACTTGATGCTTCATTGAATTCATCAATTTTTGTAGACTACTTAAATATTGACGTGGAACTAATGTGATGGTTCTGAATAATGCTGAGAATGTGTTCTGTCATCAATCGTTCGTTCTTGTTTTGAACCACTATGAATTTGGTGTATACTTTACACGTCTAATATCATATGATATTCGTATGATCCCCACTAATTCACTTGTTTATTCAAATTCTGGTTAGAACATCACACAAGATTGATGAATGTCCATCGTTCGGCCATTCTTATTGATATGCACACCACTTAGTTCAGCAATTACTATGCTATGTGTCATACAAGAATGAAACTGTTTTATGATTCACGTAGTAATGATTCTAATACAAATTTATTCATACACGTGATATGGTAATATCGTATTTGAGCTCAGAAAACATTCAGTTATGCATCATTTGTTTAGATATTTATATTAGATTGTTGACGAATGCATGATGTCAAATGTGATAAAGGGTGAGATATCGAATGAATTAATCAACGATTTGCGATATGTTGTACCTTACCATTCAATTAGACAAAACAATATTATCGACACTTCAAATCGATCGTTTCTCACTTCTTTCAGAATTCGTCTTGATTTTACTGATTTAATTAATTCAATAATTAATTGAACATTTCATTGCGATCTCTGATATTCTCACTTCTTCGCCATCCAGATGAAATAATGCTTTCATCTATATTGTTTTGTAAACATTTTCAAATTATTATAAAATTATTAACGGCGTTATTGTTATGAATGTTACCTTCATTAGCACTGTCGCTGTGATATTCCAATACTTTCTTTCGCTGTCCACCAAGCAGTGGCTCAGTCTATGTATCCGTTTTGATTTGATTCGATTTTGTTTCATCTCGTTTTTTACTCATCATCTGTGCACAATATAAATAAAACTGGGTAGTAAATGCATTTTTGCTTAATTGTGAGAACGTGAACGTCTCAATGGTGTCATGTAAATACCGTAGTTGACTGGGATGCACTCTATCGATCACGGACGAAACGGAGCTAAACCAAATATTACCGAAAAACAAGACAGTTATTCTCAGGAATACCGTGAAGACGCTTTGCACGACGTCGTCATTAGTCATAATCAGCACATAAAAAAGAATTGCTCGATCGAACGATGTATAAATGATGATATGTTTCCGGGCAAAGC